GCGCACGAGGGCAGGGAGGCTGGTACACGAGCGAAGCGCAGCACGAGATCTCCCAAGCGCCTAAATAGATTAAGGCGACCCAGCAGCAACTGCGTGAGGCCTCAAAAAACAGCGCCTTCGAGGCGACCCTGAAGGCAATGCTCAAGGCGGCGCGGAAGAAGCGCAGCATCGCGAGGTGGAGAGCACTGGAAACGTTCTTCGAGGGCTATATACGGCAGCTCGAGAAGAAGAGCCGCGAGGGGGATCAGGCGGGTTTCTACAGGCACTTGAAGATGATCGACGTCGAAGGTAAGAGGTCGTTCACCTTTCAGAACATCAAACACGAGGACGGCAAGGTCCTTCGAGACCCCACGTTTATTCGCCAACGGTGGGCACGGTGGTTCCACAAGCTTCTCAACACCAACTCGCCGGCCATCGACCTGCATGCGGCTGACAAGGTCAAGCGGTAGCCCACGTGCGTGTCACTCGACGACATCCCATCTCTACGTGAGGTTGAGGAAGCGGTACGGCAAATAGCCAACAGAAAGGCCGTCGGGCCGGACGACCTACCGGCTGAGCTGATCAAGCTTTTCCTGGACGGAGATCAAGGTCTCCTCNCCGGCTGATGTTGTTGCGCCCTGTTTCCCTCCCTGCTGTATGCTATACTCCTTTATGTATGTCATTTGTATTGCCTTCGGCCTCTGTGCTGTTTTTTTCATGTCCTCCCTGCGTACTCTTCTGTGTTGGGTAGCTTGATCTCGCGATTGCTGTTGCTTTTGTATTTGTACATCTGGCTGTCTGCCCATCTGCCGCCTCTTTGTCCTGTTTTCTCCGTTACTCCCATGCTCCGGTGCGTACTGCCTGGTGCTGGTGCGTTACCCTTTGATTTTTTCTTTGGGCGGGTGTGGGAAGCGTCCTCCTATATTTTTGTTTTTGTTTCATTTTGATCGGTTTCCGAGGGCTTTTTTCTCGAACGGTCGGTGCGGTACCTGTGCTTTCTTTCTATCGTTTTGTTTTCTTTTTCCGAGCGGTTTAGACTGTA